CCCCAAAACCCCAAAACCCCAAAACCCCAAAACCCCAAATTACCACTAAAGGAAAATTTCATACAAAAATTAAAATGGAGAGCCGCTTTGAGTAAGCTTATGCTAATCCTTTATCAGTTCAATTAAAAGGCAGAATGTTCAGACAGCTCCTCCAGAGGAGGACTCTTTCCAAGAGCAATTTTTAAATGAAGAAGACAGGATGAAACAGACTTTTGACTCTAACTTGTTGAACTTTAGCGATGGTAGATTTTATATAACCAATCTCTAGATGTCGATGATGTTGATAACCAAGAACTTCTCAGCCCCATGTTCACTAATGGTTTTGATAACTTTAAGAAAGCCTTCGTCTCATTTGATATGAGCAATGCTGAAAGAAAAGAGTTCATTGATGACTTTAAAAGCAGGTTCGGCTTCTGGAACTTATAAATATAGGCTAAATAACAATTCTCCTATCAAGAAGAACCAAAAGTTTGGAGATATTGTCAATGAAAGCATTAGACATTTCCGGAACAAAAAGTACTCTACTTCGTAAGTGTAAATGTTCCTTTGCGTTATCAGTATTTTAATTCAAAATTCTGAGAGAAAGGTTGATTTTAACTATAGAAACTTGAGGACTCCCTTGCCAGAGTATAATGATTTGAAATTCACACACAGAAATATTATTCAACCCAATTCTTCGGAGAATTTTGGAGCTAGCGGTCAGAGATGGTCTCTTGGTAGCCAGAATAATGAAGATGAAATTAGTTATTATGCTAATACTTTACAATGCTATCAATTTGACGATAACCATGGAAAAGCATTTGAGAACTCGATAGATTACGGCCTCATAAGAGAGCTAGATAGGAAAGATGGTGAGATTACGGAGGAAGACTTCTGTTTAACTTCAGGAGGGACTATAAAACTTCCAGGAAAGCACCTTAAATTTAAATATCTTCACATCCCTCATAGTTGTAAAATTGTTGGAAGTCCTGAGACCGTACTTGAGATATCTGGAGCTATTTTTATTGGAAGCTTTAAGAATAATAGTACTGGTTGGGAGACTATCACTACAGAGAATGAAGAACAAATTGCAGTACACTTCTGAGAGGTTAAGATCATTTTTAACCCTCAGAGTTCTTATTTTAGGTCAGAAACTAATGATTTGACCGAAATTGAAACTGCTAGAGGGATTCCTAAGGAAGAACAGAAAGGAAGTACGACTCCCTCAGCCTATACAGCTCAGAATTTTTTTGAGTTTGACTCCCTTTTCATCATTGATTCCTTAAACCAGACCTTCTTGGAGATAAGAGACTGTATTATCAACCCAGTATGAGAACAAAAGGAGGATTCTGTTTTTGAATCTGATCTTAAAAGGCGATATTTATGATCAAGTATTGACCAAATTTACACTTTGGAGGCGATCAATTATATCAAAGAAAAGACTGACCAGCCTGATTTGGAATTTAAGAGTGAAGACGACTTATGCGCCATACCTAATATTGGCAAATTGATGTCTGTAAACTGCAAATGCCCACCCTCTATAAGAATGCACTCTTGTGTAATCAGGCAAAAAGAAGGAGATTTAGGTAAGATTCCAAGTTTTTCATCAGATCCAACCTTTTCTGACCGAAGTTTAGGATTTTTAAATAAATTCCTCATTTTCTAACGATCGTTTAGATATGCTTGAGCCATGACCACTGTATAGTTTATTTAAGGTAATTCAAAGCAGCAAGATTCAGCTAGATTCTTGTTGAATTGAGGAAACTCTTGGGTCTTGACTTAGGCTCAGGAATCCTCAAATCCTAGATGTGTTCGACTCAACGATCACCGAGGCTCAAGAATCTGCTATTTCTGTAGAAATCAGCAAGCTAGAGGTTTCAGAGAACTACTGTAGATCTCTAAATATCTACAACTGAGAGATTATGAAGAATAAAGGAAGTGGAATCGAGGTCTATGCTGATGAATTCGTAGACCAAAATTTGAAAATATTTGTAACTGAGTGCAGGATTTCGAATAACTCTCAGTGCGGCTTGTTCCTTGCCAGAATGGCTGTTGATCTTGTCAAAATTACAGACTCTAAATTCATATCGAATTCTGGTAAAGGGTGCTATTTCAAAATAGTCCATCAGAGGTTTTAACAAAAGTTGTTTCTCTGTCAAAAACAGCAAGTTTATTAATAACAAAGAAAATGGACTCCAAATTGATGACTCTGGGTTCGAGTTAGAGAAAGTTAATTCTAACAATAACTCTAAGAATGGGATCTCGATCAATGGCACCATGAAGCCAGTTGTGATTCCTCAAGAATCTATGGAGTTTCTCAAAAAGCATGGAATGAACACAACCATGACCAACGTCACTGTGAATGGCAACAGTGGATTTGGAATCTCAATAAAAAGTTATTGGAAAGGAGCTATCTTAATTGCTAAATCTAGTTGTTCAAAGAACTCTGAAGATGGACTTTTCTTGTACACTCCTATTGAAAAACATCCCAGAACATCTATAGGAGATTTAGAGAGGAAGTCAAAGTTCTATGATGGTCCCAAAAATAAGATCTCTCCAGGAGATTTGACTAATGATAAGACAATTCAGCAGCAGGAGAGGTGCCCAAAGGAAAGAGAGTCTAAAGAAATATCTAAAGTGGGGCGATTGGTCATCACTATGGTAAGTATCCTCACCATTTAATTCTAATCACCTCTATAGTGCACCTTTATGAAGAACATGAAGCACGGCTTGAACATTATGAACACTGAATGTACCTTAAACCCATCAATTTTTAAAGGTGATTTATAGGTTTTATTGGTTTTAGATAACAAAAAGTATGCTATTTATATGGAACGCGAAGAAGACAAACAAAAACTGCTAATCCCACCACTTACGCATGGAGAGATGGTAATTCGTGGAAAAGCTGGCGGAGAATGGGGCAAAATCTCCATCAAAAAGACATCAGGCTGATGAATAATTCAGTAATATTTTATATTTGGCTATAAAAAGGGGTTTTGGGGTTTTGGGGTTTTGGGG